AACTAAACTAGACAGCTTTAATTAAATACTAATTATAAAATATGTACAAATATGTGCAGGAATGTGCGAAACCCTATCAACTCTCCCCATCCCCAGCAACTCCCCTGGCATCTCCTGAGCTGTGAGCGGTTCCGAAATGTCCCGGAGCTGCAGGAGAGAGTGGCAGAGCAGACAGGAGCTGAGGGGAGAGCTGTGAGGGTCAGGAATGCACGGGCCTAGGGATCAATGGTGATGGATAGATGGAGTCCTCCCTGGATGTCAGCCATGGATGGAAGAAAATGAAAGAGGCTTGACATATGTGATCCTTGAATTTATACTGACTGTTACATATAAATGGGATGGAATCATTTGCTTGGTCAGGTTTGCTGTCTGTCTAGGCTGCTCCTCCCTATGGGAGGGTTGTAGATACAACCCTGCTGCTCCTTAGTGTCCAAAGCAGCGGATCTGACAAGTAGAGCAAAGCGTCCTTGGTGTCTCTATAGGAGTAACTATAAACATTCAGGTGTTATCAGTCCACTAGCTGGAAAACTTGCTACTACTTCCAGCAAGTGTGCTGCTTAAAAGAGAGTTCACTGAAGAAAAAGAAAAAAATCAGTGAAAAGAAAATCAGCTTCATCCTGGCTCAAACCAGGACACTTATGCATTCTATTTTAAAAATAATTTCCCAGAATGTCACTGTAGGGATTGTTCTTGGTTAAATGTTGATGAGGTACCTTTTATTTTCATTGTTTTTTTCCTATCAAAACCAAGTCTGCTACTGGAGAACATCATACCAGCAAAAATGTATTTTTTAGAAAACAGTGATCTATGAGGTAAATGAAGTCAAGAGAAGTTGATGGTGAAAGGCATTTCTCTATTGAATGTTATGTATTAAAATGAGGGCTTAGTAGTTAATTAGTGTTGAGTAGGAATTGCATACAAAATAGTTGTTTCCTGTATCCATGAAAAGCTGGTTAGCATTAAAAATAGAATGCAACATTTATGGGTATGTAATTATATAGAGCATAATTATGCACATCACACAGTCGGATGAGCAGAGATTCTGCAGAGTTGTTCAAAATAGTTTGCCAAATTGTTCATGGAGGCTGTTAGCTTACATACTAGTCAGGAACTGTTCTTTATCAGTTGCTTTGATAAGTAACTGCTTGTAATTTATTATGCTGACTGATTAGTTTGTAATTTCCTATAAATCACACACCAAAGATTCCATTTCCCAGCTTCCCAAACTAGCTGTGTGAACCCATACATATATTCCCAATATTCCATTATTGACAAATACTAGTTTAAAAATGCATACTTTGACTGTGCACAGAATTTTCATCTCACCTATCTCAAAATTTCCCATTTGCTCCTGCTAAGCAATATCACTGTACATACTCTGAAATAGCAAGGACTTTAGCATTGCTTGACTAAAAGCAGAAACCTCACGTATGCAACTGCCAGCCAGCTGTGAAGTGGAGCTCCTTGGTGAGCTATGTCCTTCCTTTTCAGTTGCTCACCCAGCTACACTTGCCACCACAGGGCATTGAGGAGACAGCCCTGGGCGGGGAGTGATGGCACAGGTGAGTTGCAGGGGGTTGTGTGGCTCTGCTGCACAGCATAGGGGCTGCTCTTCAGCACTGGAGGAAGCAGAAGGATGAACCAGAGTCATGAATACAGGCTGGAGGAAGACATGCTATGGAAAAAGACCTGGGTGTACTAGTGGATCAAAAGCTGGACATGAGCCACCAATGTGGAATTGAAGCCCAGAAGGCAAATTGCATCTTGGTCTGCATCAAGAGAAGTGTGGCCAGCAGATTGAGAGAGGTGCTGCCCCTCTACTCTGCCCTGGTGAGACCTCACCTGGAGTGCTGCTTCATCTGTGGAGCCCCGAACACAAAAAGCATGTGGATCTGTTGGAGTGTGTCCAGGGGAGGGCAACAAAAATTATCAGAGGACTGGAGCACCTGTCTTACAAAGACAGGCTGAGGGAGTGGGGGTTGTTCAGCCTGAAGAAGAGAAGACTCCGGGACAACCTTATAGTGACCTTCCAATACTTAAAAGGAGCCTATAGGAAGGCTGAGGAAGACCTGTTCACAAAAGCATGTAACGATAGGACAAGGAGTAATGGTTTTAAGCTAGAAATAGGTAGATTTAGATTGGACATTAGTAAGAAGTTCTTTAATATGAGGGTGGTGAATCGCTGGAACGGTAGTGGAGGCCCCATCCTTGGAGACATTCAAGGTCAGGCTTGATGGGGCTCTGAGCAATCTGTTGTAGTTGGAGGTGTCCCTGCTTATTGTAGGGGGGTTGGACTTGATGACCTTTATAGGTTCCTTCCAACACAAGACATTCTATGATTCTATGATTCTATGACTGCTGGAGTTGTGTGTGTGCTTTGCCAGTGCCATGATGATGGGAGAGTGGAGTGGGAAATAGGAGTTAATAGAAGAACAGAAGATGTGCTCGATAGACTCATCTTCATACATAATTTAATCAATCCTGCCTTAGAGGTACAAACATGCATAACATAATTCAGGTAAATGCTGAACTACTAATTTTTTTAGTATGTCCTGAGGACTTTCACATTTCTATTTAAAACTAAACAACTACTTCAATAATTCTTCAGTCTCAAAGCAAAGAAAATAAAAGGAAATCCCACCATATTTGAGGAATGAAAACCTTCAACAAGTCATATTCTGCCATGACAGCATCTGTGATTTCTGCATTGCTAGGAGGCAATTTTTACCAGTATGTAAAAATGTATGAATTCATGACACCAATATAGTTTATTTTTTCTCTACTGCTTGAGCCCATGGAAAAGGTAAAAATAATAATAAAAAAATCTGCACCATTTCAAACACAAAGCTTTTAGCAGATTTATCCATCAGTTTAATATGAAATGGAGTAACTAAGCTTCACAACATGCTCTGGAGGGCCAAAAACTGCTGCTGAGTGACCTAAATGCAAGTTTGGGAAAGAGAAGCTCATGCACTGGACATAAGACAACAGCTGGAAATTGGCAGAGTTCAGTGGACCTACAGATGTGCAGTTGCTCATGCAATAAGTATGACACTTAATAAATTGCTACCTTAACTTCCACATGTAGTGGAAGTAAGGTTCTTCACTGTTCACTTCTTTATCCAAAAAGTTATTATGTTTTTGGGGCTTTTACTCTCCATGTGGAAAAATAGCTGTGAATATTTAGATGTCTCTTTCATTCAATATAATACATCTTGCAGAAATTGTACTGATGCAATTTGTTCAGCAAGAATGAGAAATAAAGAATATAAGTTCAGGCATCATTTTGTCCTAACGTGTGCATATTTATGATTAATGATTCAGAGTTTTGGTGATTTGAATAACTTTCTATAATGACTGATATGTGTCTCCATTGACCATAGAGAAGTGCTTTTGGGGATCAGATTTTATCTTAGTTAATTCATTTGGATAGAACAAAACATATAGAAAGTTTACTCCTCTGCTCAAGATGACATTCCTTGTTGACAGGGCAGTCACCTCCACCCCCCAGTAAAACAGCACAGCTCTGCACTGCCTGACACCTGCTGTGTCTCCAGGTGGCTCTGCTGCCACAGGTATTCCCAGGCTCCTTCCTACAGATTCTCCCCCGGCTTCAGGAACTGACCTCTCTCCTCTTTGCTTAAGGAACTGCTGAAAGACTAATTTTTGTCCTGGGTGAACTGATTGCATTTAGCAATCAACTAACAGTTTTCTGACTTGTCAGAATAGTCCACCTTTACACAGGTAACGTATAATGAAAAAGGAGAATGAGATGTCACACACTCTTTATAACATAAAATGAAATATGAAGATGCAAGGGGACACTGATGCACAGTGCTAGAGTTGTACGTAGAAGGGCACTGTAAAGTATACACACACAGGGTTATGTGGTTAAACAGTGTTCTTATTTTCCTTCTATTCCTTTCCCTCCCCACCAAAAAAAAATATAAAAATTATCTAAGCATATGCAAGCAAAATGGCATTAATGCTGCAGTGACAGAAAGTCACCAAACTCTGGAAAAAATAAAACTTGTGTTAGATATTCTTTTTTTCCTATTGTTTACATGCGTTTTTATTCTAGAAAACTAGAAATAAGTGGAGAATATATACTGTGGAGTAAAGCACCCTGAAGGCATTTATACAAACCCACCCCCTTACTGTTCATTGCACTGAGAAACAAATAGAAAGATGAGATTCCTCAACGAATGCAAAACAAGAGGCAGAAACATAATCTCATCTTTCTCAGCAAGCAGGCAAATCTCTCGCACCATTCTCTAGTACTGGAATTCATCAGCTACTGAGTAATACCTTCAGAATGCTTGGTGGGTGATTCTCAGTTAGAAAGTCCTTAGGAAGACACTCTGCCAGTGGACGAAGGAAAGAAAGGACGACATGGGGCAGGCTGTACACCAGTTCAAGGCTCTGTTTTGGAAGAATTGGCTCTGTCGTGTGAGGCAACCGGTGAGTTTTTGGAAATGATAAAAAAAGAAATAATGTAAATCTTCCTTTAATATCTGTTGGAAAGAGGGTATCTGTTAGTTTTTCACTGCTGATTGTTAAAGATAAGTGGGCTGCAAGTGGTTCCTGTTTTGCGTTTGGTCTTCTAGTTGTTAAAAACAAATGTCGAGAACAACAGTGGTTTTTAACTCTAGAATGGCTGAATACAGCAATGCTCCCCAATTTGCAAATGAGGTAGGAAATCTCATAAAGTTTTGAAGAACCACAGCTTATCTTCTAATTAACAGAAGATACTGCCAGTGTTTGTAGGAGTGGTGAGGATAAAAATAATTTTTCTTCACATTACAGATACTCATTTGGTAAAGTAAGAAATCTTGCACAACTGAGATCATAATCTAGATATGGGAAATGCAAGGACTGTGTAATAAAATGGTGTATACTTCTAAATTTTCTTTCTTATCAGCTCTACAAAGCCTAACTTAACCTTTCAAATTCCAATATGCAGAAGAATGTGGCAGCTACTTCAACAGCAGTCAACATAATACTCAAATGTGAGATGAGATATCATTGCTTATCCTGTGATTGACATGTTTTTTTAATTTAAGATAGAGGGGTGCACATTTTCTCAAGTGAGATAACAGTTTTGTGGAAAAAAAGCCCCACTACAGTTAAAAGCTCATCACGGATTTCTCTTGTCTGAGATGATGTGAGGATTTGCAGTAAGGGATATTGACTGCTTTGGATAGGGTTACCTCAATTAAACAAATATACAGCTTTTCATTTTAGAAATCTTTCACTTAAATAAAATTGTGATTTAGAGAGACAACTTCTTCTTAAAATGATTTCAAGTTATGTTGTTGTTTTTTTTTAGTATTAAAGACATCTTTTGGGAAGGGATACTATTGGTTATATTTTTCTCCATTCCTAAACACTTCTGTATATTCCCTGTTCCTCATACTTAAGTCAGTGTGCATTAAGTGGCTTCTCAGCATCTCCTTTTCCACTCCATGCTGATCTATTTTTTCTCATTGATCTGTCTAGTTTTCCCTCTTACATATTTCTGAGGGACAAAATCTTCGTTCGTGTAAATTTTAAGTTTGCCTAACTTTCCTGAATAGAGAGTTTACTGAAATGCAGGCTTCTCCAAACCATGAATTACAATGAATGACCCAAAGCAAACTTAAATTCTGCCTGTCCAGAGCCAGGAGCTACCCTGGGGCATTTGGAAAATTTGGAAAATCTTCTTATGTGCTTACTGTGCAAACACTGATACATGAAGGTGCTCCATGTGCAGTTACACAGGAGAAATCCAGGTGTATGGTCCATCTGTGCAAAGAGCAGGTCAGACTGTGAGTCTGAGGAGAATCTGAAAGATCTGATGTGCTTCAGCTCTGTACTATATTGTGTAGATCAACTTGTAGAAGGCAATTGTCTTCTCATGGTTATTTATCAGCAGTTAGGGCTAGAAGACAAATAGGATCTGTTGAATTAATGATGTGTCATGAGTGTCATGTGGAATTAGTTGATACCACACAGTGAAGGGTAAAAGGGCTGTGACTGATGTAAGCATTCTGTGATGAGCAGGTGTTTTGACTGAAATTCAGACAGGCATCAGCACCTCTTATTAACCTGGTTCAAAGGCAGCACATATATACTTTTGAACATAACATTATGGTCTCTTCTAATTTCTTATTTTTCAGAAGCTTTTGCTTCTGAACTACAGATTCTGGAAGCTCAGAAAATACATACTACCAGTCAACTGTATTACTAAAGTTTTCTATCACTGTATTTCTTAATGACTCTTTATATAGTATTTATTACCATCCAATTTTGGAGCAAGGTGAAGAGTGAAATGTGACTCCTGAATTGTCTTGTTCTGGTAGCCTAATTTAGGGGAGAATTGGGATTGCAATCATGGTGTGAAATATTTTGAGTATGTAGTTGCTAATGCAGATATTAGGATAAAACAGAAACATACTCTATCCTAAAACTATGGAGATTTTTAAAAGTTGCTATTATTAATTATTTATTTATTTTAAAATAATGTCAAGCATGAGAAAACATGCTGGGAAAATTCTTACTCTTCCTCTGCCCTTACACTGAGTGTCATCTTTGCCCTGGTTCGGTCCTGTATAGTTCACACTCCTTTCTTCCACACTTTAAAACATATAAACACCCCTAAAAGTTGCTTACTGCCAGATGCTCTCTGTTTAGCACACTTGGTTTTACTTCAGTGCAAAAATATTAAACTAAAAAAACCCAACAGTGAACAGGTAAAATGTCTACTTCTATCAGCCAGGTCCTAAAGCCCCATTACCAAGTCCACCATTCTTCCCAGGTGCATCTTGCCAGATGGCATGAGCTCTCAGACACCAGTTCCCTTCAGTGCTTGGGCAAAGCATCTGCAGAAGGGCTGCCATCTTTCAAATGTGCTTTCTTTGGAGCATCTTCTGTTGGTGCCTTTCCTATTTGAATGTGAATATGCCTTGTACAGCAGCATTACTTCCCACAAAGACCAGGAATAACTGGCTCAATGAGATGAATTTTACTTGCTTAATGTGTGCAGCATGCTGACATTTCATTGAGTCCTCCAACCTATTTCCAGCACTTCAGTCCAACCTACTGTTTTTGCCTCTTCAGCTGCCTTCTCAGTTCTTGTATTTATCCCAGATTCCTTTGTTATCACATGCTCTGCTAGAAGCCAGCTGAGTGAGGTTTGCTTTATTAATCTAAAAAAAACCCCAAATAGCTTACCAAAGGAGAGGACTGCTAAGGGAAAAAACCCAAACTTCAGACTTCTCATATACACAGATGCTGTTGCTACCCAGGCAGTTGTTGAGATGGTAGTAAAAACAGCTGGTGCAGACATGGCAGTGTTGATAATGGGGTTATTTCTTAATATTCCTAGGTTCTCTGCAATTGCTATTACCAACATCCAGGCTGACAATAATCTAACAAAGAAAGGCATAAAGATGTTAGACTGAGAAGCCATGAAGGCATGCTGAAATTCTGGAGATAAATGGAAATTGGGAAAATTCTTTGTTTTCCTAAAACCTTGGAGATAACATAAGTTATTCTAACAGACCTGTAGTTGCTCGGCTCACTGGTATTCACCAGTTGAGATTTTGATATATTTATTAAATCTTTAATGTTATAGATTCACCAAAATAACTACTATTTACCCTACTCTTTAGGCACAATGAGGTTTCTCAGATGAATGGTAACAACCAATGAAAATGTGGAACCAGAATGACAGTAATGATTATTTACATCTGTTATCCTTTCAGTAGATGTCTTTCTCCTCCTCCACCAAAGCTAGTGGAATTGTGAAATGTTAATTTTTATCTCTAAGTTTGTGAGGAGAAAAAAAAAAATAGTTTGCCCATTTAAAAAATGCTGTTGTTGTATTTTTGTATTTTAAGAATCTTTGGCTTATGAACCTAGAATTGGAATAATAACCCTTCCCTGCATGTCAGACTTTTAAATAATATTTTTATAAAAAAATAAGCAGGCCAATTCTGGAAGAGCTTAAAGCAGAGGAGAGTTGTCAACTGTTCTGTACCAGACATACCCTACTATGTTACAGCCTGTGTGACTTCTCCAGACATGGAGTATTGTCTTGTATTTCTAGACAGATGATACTCAGATATACCTACAAATGGTTATCTCTTCCCCTTTCTCTCATGCTTTATATGTATCATCCAGCAAAAATTCTCAGTGGGTTAAACACTAAAAGTTCAAAATATTTCTTAAATATAATTGCAGACAAAAAAAAAGACCACGAATGGGCCAAAACCAATTAACTAAAATCTACCTGAAATCAGTAAACTTCCTTGGCTGCATCCAAAGTCCATGGAAAGTACACGAAGAAAAGCACTCAAAGTTTTAGGCAACGGGATATACCACACTCCATGGAAGTTGCAAGTGTGAGACTCTGGTGACCTGCTATGGTATATCAAAGGGAGTGTCAATGGAAGATGTCCAGTTAATTTCACAACTATCTTAAGTATGAATGACTGGTCCTTAATACAGCCTAGTAGGGGATATGTAAGGAAAAAAAAAAAGAAGGTAAAAATGAGAGTATTTTCTATATTTGTTTGGGTGAACTAATATAGATTTTGAAGTCAGACATTTGCCTTATTCCTAATTGATGGAAAATTTGTTTCTCTGTTAGTAGGGTTTTGTTTTGTCTTAGTTAATGGGAATTACAATGCTTTCTGCTTTTCTGTTGTGGTAAGCAAGTAGAATTTTCCATATACTGTAACTCCTATAAAGGTGTTTACAAGCTCAGAAGTGTCCCATAGTGCTAGTAGTATGCTCTTCCTCAGTTTTAGTTATAAGATACCAAGATATTTTTGATCTAGGTCTACTTCTCCAGAGACATTTAGTAACATCTGTTCCATCCCTTTGGGAAGGCCTTTGTAATGATGAAAAGTTTCCAAGTCTATCCCTTCTCTGCTTTGTAGCACAAGGAAATCTCTCACAATGTACTTAATCCCCTGCATTTTTTACTAATAATTACAAATAACATGTTAGATATTTTTGGCCAAAGAGGTGTTCTCACCAACAAGTGTCCTAGTGAAATGCTGCTCCCAATTAATGTCTTTTTTAGTAAGGTCTAGATGTAGTTCTGTACAATAAGCCTAGCATTTTACTAACGATTTGGATACTGGTGACTTAACCAGTAGGCAAAATGATTCCTGTTCTTCCCAAATCATGAGTCCTTGTTAAGTATAACCAAGAGCCTCCAGTTATTCTTTTGGCTGGCAGGTGACAACCACTGACTTGCTTTGCCCATGAGTGCAGTCCTGGCTTTCCGAAGTAGAGCTGTCTGGAATCAGCTTTGGTGGCTCCTCACCAAAGTTTTATTTACATCACCTTGCTTTTTTTCCTGTATTGAAAGAATGAAGAGCTGGCATAGTTATTTTGGTGCCCAGGACTCACAAATGTGATTTTGGAAATTGTGCAATGGATTTGAAAGCTACTGAGCCAACCACACTTTCATGTTTGATCTGCTTGCACTTTTACCCCTGGTAAAAGTCCAGTGCAGTAGAAGAGAGAGAGAACAAAACAGCATGCTTGAAATCAAAAGGCTTTGGTTGGTCGAGGAGTTGCCCAGAGTTGGTCTGCATGATGCAGAACCCCAGGTGGTTTCTCTAATTTACAGAAAGATAAGTAAGTGCAAAGAAGAGCAGGTAAGTAGCTCTGTCTTATCTAAAGGGCACTATCAAGTGAATATCTAAACACACCTACAGCTCTCCTCACAGGTGCCAGCAGCCTGACAGAGCTAATGGGTTTAATTGCCCTGAATATCCTCACCTGGAGCCTCCACCCCTACACCCTATTTAAATTCAGTGAGGGGCCTTTGGTAAGAGCAGTAGCCTCTGGCTTAGCTGTGCTGATACATGGATCCTGCTGGTGATTGCAGGGCTATGTCTGACCCTGGCTGCTGCTCCTGGATCTGACCATGGCCTGCAGATTTGCTTCCTGGCTTGGTCTCATTGCTTTCAGACTTGCCTGGAGATTCGAGCTCTCAGTTGAACTGGGCTGCTGTTGCCCAACACCCTTGCCTTGCTGACCTGGCATTCCTGTTGGCTCTGTGCCCTGTGGGGACAAGCTGGCTGTCCCTGTGTCCTGGCCACTACCTTGGGGCCACCTTGAGCCCTGAGGTAACTACCAGAGAGCCCAGTCTGCACTTGTGCAGGGCCTTGGCCCTACAAATGCCCCTGAGCTCTCTCCTACAGCCCTGACGCCCTGCCTGGGATTTTTGTGGGACTTTTGCCATGCCCCCTTGCCAGCATGGGCCATGGGTCGGGGAGGAGGTGGTGTATGTTTGCAGGGGCAGCCTTGACCCTTTCCAGCCCCTCATGGGCAGTCTGGTGACACCTCATCCAAGTCTCTTCTGCAGTGTCCCTTTCCACATCCACTCTATCTGGTTCCATGCCCCACATACACCCCTTCCCCCCATGAAATAGCCCATGGATGTCCCGCAGCAGCGGCAACGCTCCACAGCAAGGTCTCTCTGGTCCCATATGGGAGGTGTGTCGATGAAACTACCAGGGAGGGGAGGCTGCTGCCAGGGCCCTGAACATACTGCTAAGACTTAATGGACCTGACCAGCCTTATCTGGGCCCAAGGCTCAGCTAAAACACGGTTCCTGGGCCTTCAGCTCCTGCCTGGAGCTAGTGGAATTTGATTCAACAGTGACACAGCTTTGACATAAAAATCCTCAATAAGCTTCTGGGAAGTTAATGGTCTCTAACATTAAATTTTAGTGTAATTCTTTGTAATTTCTACTGCGTTTCTGTTCATGAGTTTGGTGTTTGCATTTTCCGAACGCTTTTATCAGGGAATCTAGAAGTCTTCTGAAAGCTGGCTGAATAGCAGTTTCTTCCTCTTTGCAGCTGAAAAGTTGAGACAATTGCTGTTCTTTGTAGGTTTGGTTTTTTGTTATTTTTTTTTAAATAATACTTACTTTTTCCCTTCATGCAATCCATTTTGGGCTCTGCAGCCTCTCTGCGGGGGCGCAGACTCACACTCTGTATATGCAGTTCGCAGAGGAGAAGCGCTAAAAAGTGCACTGGCTTGGAAGCCTTTTTGTTGTGGCCCTGGAAATAGGAAGACAGGGACAAAAGAAGCGTGGTGGTGGACAGCCTCAGGCCTGCTAGCTTGGTTTCACAGTGCCCTGCTGCTGGAGGTGACAAAGGCAGATTTTGGAGAGAGGCGACTGCGGGTGGGAGAGCGAGTGCTGGCAGCAGCGAGGGACCAGGGAAGGACGAGGAGGTTGTGCTGCCAGGTGCAGGACAGCAGGCTTCAGGGGAGCATGAGGAGGGGCAGCAAGGTGCAGCATGCTGCTGACTTCATAGGGGGCTCAGCTACAGGGAAGCTGGATGTTACTGCAATCACATTTTCAGAGCGACTGCATTCACCGGAGGAAAATATCTACAGGCACTACAAACAGAAGTGAAAACTGCTTTTGTACTCTGAAAGCAAGGTATTTGACAAAGTTATAAGGATTTTTAAATGGAAGCCTTAATTACTGACTTGATTTCAGTGATATTATTTCCCCTTAAGTAGTTGTACTGTGCATCTTTAATAGTTTTTTTATTTAAAAAATATGTATTTTAATTATTTTTTCACAAATCCTGTTTTTTGTAGTACTGACAATGCTTTGGTTTCCCTTTTCAGGTCCTGTCTCTCACTGAAATACTCTGGCCATGTGTGCTGTTCTTGATTCTAGCTGCAATCCGCTTCCAGGAACCCCCAAAATACAAAGAAAACTGTATGCTTTCTGTTCTATTGTGTTCTATTTTGTTTGCCTCTGCTGTAGAAATATTTAGGAAATACTTAAGGTAACCTAGAAGAGGTGGCTTAAATGTAGTGGAGTCAATGGAAAGAACCCTAGAGTGGGATTCATTCTTGTCTAGCTGCTGATGTGAGCAAGTAATATTTCAGCAAGAGACAAAGACAAACTTTAAGGTCTGATTTTTTGGACCACTTTTAGACATCTACTTTGGAGTAAGGGGGTTATTTGGGTTTTAGTTGTACTTATTTCTTTCTGTTGACTAATGGAGTTTGGATGACTCCCTCAGAGTCAGATAATTATGCAATAGATGCTAAAAGTTATACAAGATTGATCTTACCCCTCACCACTTCCCAGGATTTAGAATTAATATTTTGTAAATAGTAAATTCTTCCATTTCCATCAACACTTAAAAACTTGTTATGATTACTTCTACCCAATAAATTTATTTTTGCTTTTATCTTATTATTGAGTTTATTCACAGATGTCAGTAAGATGGGGATAAGCCAGCTTTAGCTACATTAGAAACCAATTTGGTAAAACAATTGTAGATCCGTTGAACGAAACATCTGGACAGAATCCAGCATGCACTGTATAAATTTACTTTGGACTACCTCTGGTCTAGCCCCAAGGATGCGAGGCATGCTAGTGGTCTGATAACCTTAGTTGTTTGTTGGGTTTTTTTTGATAGATCTTCCACTTTGTTTTAGCAGAAAGGGATCCAGTGCATGTGCTCAGAGAGCTTTCTGCAATATGAACTGAAGTATGCTAAATAAAAATAACGATCATATGCAAATGACGCTGGTTATTCAAAACTCAAAATCTGTTATTTTATACAGCAGGTACAGTACAATTTCTAATGATAAATCTCCAAAATATTAGCAACTGAATATAAATAAAATTGGGATTTTTAAATGTTAAGTAGATGTCATTAATTCACCATTTTTTCATCTTTCAATTCTGAATATTAAATATAAGTGCTAACCCAAATGGTATTTTTCTCATCTACTTCCATTTCATTCCTTTAACTTTGATGTAATGTCTGCCAAAATAAGGTTACCCGGAGGAATGGGGGAAATGACCTTTCAAGTATGTATCAATTTTAGCAGTTTTAAACAAAAAGTTAAATAGGAACCTTATAGCCCTTCCTTACATTTCAAAATAAGCAAAAAGTTACTTTATATGATGAGGTTTAAATTCTCAGAGAATATGGAAAAGTTACTATTTAGACAGTCTTGATGGAAATAAATTTAGATATTGCTGAATTCCAGCTCCTTCATCTCATGAAAGCTTGGGCTAAAAGACAAAATTTGACTTTGCAAATAACTCTGTATTCTAATCTAGGCCGTAAGTAATTTTACACCAAGATGCTAGCAAGCCTATGATGTTGCAACAGCTGTGAAAATCAGCTTTCCAAAATCTGCTCTCGAATGCTACCCTGCTGTCATATTCTGACACAGGAGTTACTAATTTTCTGTGGTGAATTAGTTGTTTGTAAGTGGAACACCTGCTATTGATATAACTTCATTGCTCACAAGTGACAAAGCCACTTTCTAGGAGAAGGGAGCACCATGTGATGGTACAAGTTTATAACTGTAATGTTACTAGTTTTAACTCTGCCCCTGTTTGGTTTTAGGTTACTTAGAAGCTCGGGATCTGCCAAGCCAGGGCCTTTATCCTTTCATGCGGACCCTTTTCTGTAATGTTGGTTCAAGATGCAAGAATACTAGTTACACAAACCAAAAAACCAGCCGCTTACGGTAAGATACACAAATCTGGCAGAGCTGTCAGTAGCATGGTGCATCTTCTTCTAGAGCAAAGGCTCTTATTTTTTTGTAGGCAGGTTGAATAGGAGCTTCATCACTCTGTACTAGAAGTTTCCTTCAGTGTCCTTATAAATGTTAAAGATGGAGGGCTTTAGTCATGCCTCTTTCTACTTTATCTTTGCCTTTTATGCTGTTACTTCACACTAAATACTGTTTTACATCTGTCTGTATGAAGTTCTGGTGGCATTATATAAGTGAAAATAAAGCAATCTGGCTTGGAAAAAAAAAAGTTTAAACTAAGTAAAAAGCAAAACTGCAGGTACATTGAGACACATTCAGACAGAGTAAAAGTGGCAAAACTCTGTGCCATGGTCTTGCCAACTCAGTATAAAGCCTATAGCCTGTTAATTACTGCGGCAATACTATATTACTGTGTTGTAGAGTTACAATAACTGCTGGCCTTTTAAAAAGTTGTTTCCTAAAAGGATATTTTTTATTTATATCACTAGTCCAGGTGCCATCTGAGTGGGTGAAAGCTCTAGAAACTATGAACTATAATGACTGCTCTACACTATTTACACTGCTTTGACTGAACTGTCCAAATTATATTTCAGCTCAAAAGAAAAGCAGGAAAGAATTTCCTGAAGGCAATCTTAGACCTACTTAAGAATTGGGGAAATTATTCAGTGGCTTTTAATTTTTTAACTGAATAATAAAATACATGCTTGTATGCATATTTATGCACTAAATAGGCTGCACTGAGTAGCATATAGCCTAGGTGAGGAAAAGGGATAAAAATGTAGGATGAAGTTCATTCTGAGGTCAGTCTGTTCCAGCAGGTCCATCAGTATAAATTAAATCAACCTCAGGGCTGCTCTGACTTATGCTGGCTGCCAACAGCCTTAGGAATACAGACTGTCAGCTTGATCAGCCAAACAACTGAATCCTGTGTTGACTGGAGAGAATGGGTGGCATGGGAACAATAATACAATTATCTTCCCTCTGAGGACTTTTATGAAACCATAGGTGGTTCTTTGTAATAATTTTCAGGGAGCTTTTTTTGCATTAAAATGTTGTGTTTATTAAGCGTAAATCGAAGGCTGTGTACAATTTGCATGGAGACTTAACCCCTTTGTTTTCTAAATATGCACCACATCAGTGCTACCAGTTTGAAAAACAGTTGTTGTCTTTTGGAAAAAGTAATTCTATGAATTCTGTTGAAACCTCCCCTGTGAAAGCCATAAAGCACCCACATAACTATTTGTCAGTGAGCAGACTGAGCAGGCCTGCTCTGTCAGCAGGGCTGAGCCAGGTGTTGAAGTCATCCTGGTGCAGGGTGCCCTCACACATATGGCTACACCCCCAAGGCAACAGGCTCTGTTAACAGCCTCTGACATGGTGAGAAGATGAGCCAGGTGAAGGCTACAAATACCTCATTAACTTTGGTTTGCAGCAAAATCTGCCACCTCCTCTGATGCCTTAGAAAGCCTCTGTTTTTCAGAGCTCGAAGGCTTTGCTTTTTGCTTCTCTTCAGCCACTGTAAAAGCTGCTGTCATGCAGCTCTTCAATGTGATCCCCTAGCCTGTTACACCTAGCAGTATCTCAGAGCAGAGGAGTAAGGAAATATTTAGGAACTCCCATGGCAAAAGACATTTTTTTCCTGTTCTTAGCACAATGTTCCACCAGTTCCCTACCACCTCATCTTAATGGAGAATGGAGTAAAACTGAGAGCTTGCAAGTAAAATAAAAACCGTGGAGCAGAGTGTCCCATGGCCTTATGCTCACACCCTCAAATAAAAGTGCATGTGCATAGAAACATAATGTATTCCCAGTACTTTTAATTCCAGTGCAATTCTTGCAGAATGTGGTGGGATTTGCCCTTACAGCTGTGACTTCTAGATCAATGTCAGTTAGACTTCTCAATATCTAAAAGAAAATTTAATTTAGGCTTTCGTGGACTTAGAACTACAAAGATTATGAAAACAAGACTTGAAAAATTAATTTTAAGCACATTAGTTTATTATTCTTTTTCAGCTACAGGTAGTAGCAGCCTGAGCAGCCCTAACCTGTACGTGTGTCAGAGCCCCAGGTCTGCCTCTGTCATCTTCTCCTGGAGGGACCCCTCAGACCCACGTGGTAGCTTTGTCGCCTTTGGCACTTGGGTGGACTTCTGGGTTCATCTTGCCATATTGGGGTTGTCACTGGATCCATTACCCACTCCTGGCTCTGTCTGCTGGCTGGGATATTGGTGGACAGTACCCCATCATTGAGGACATGGCCTCCTTCAGGTTCATTTCAGCTCCTGGCTCAACCTCTCTCTTGGAGCAGCTACAGTCACTCTGTTCCTTTTCTTGTTACTGATATTATTGATACCTGGACCTCTGTGGTTCTCTAGTGGAGTAGTATCAGAAAAGCTGATGTACAAGAGCAGGTGTGGGAAAACAAAATCAATGCAGGTCTCAACAGTGATAGCACTTGCACAACAATTGCTTAGAGGGTTAAATTTTTCTTTAATGATGTATATCTTCAAACAAAAAAAAGGAAATAATTCTGCATAGTAACTGTATGGTCTGGGCCAGCCTTTGTAGTGTTGTGCTATGTAGTTGGAAAACTAGGCCATTTTTGTGATCTTCCTTGTAGATCATCAGAGTTGGGGAGAAAAGGCATTTTAAACCTGAATTTTCTCCATTGTGTAGCTAATTAAGAACAATGCTTTTTTGATTCTTTACATTTTTTGGTCCATTGCATTTTAGAAGGGTTGTAACAGTTAATGCAACATGGAGGGGAAAGATCTTTCTGTGACAGACATGCAGAAAACTATTGTCCAGCATGTGTATTGGTGCTGATGGTGATGTCATGTCTCCAGGCTATCTTGAAATGGTGCAGAATGGGAGCCAGTACAGCTGGGGCTTTGCAATTTTATAGAGAAATTTCTAATGTGGTGACGGGTGAGATTGAGACAAGAGTTTTCTGAGCGGCTTTTGAAAATCCTCAGTCTAAGTGGCATCTCTGATCTGAGATCTCAGATGAGTTCTGAAACGTTCTTACTGTTCTCCTGAGTAACTGCGTAATCTGAACAAAATTGGCAATTCTGAGCAACGGCTTTAGGAAATGCCCATTGTTTTTACATTCCCAAAGAGATGCTCTTTTTTTTGCTCTTTTGCAGTGTTTTGTCATGGTCAAAACTCATATAGATGTACGTCTTAACTTTGATTTCTGTCCTCTTGCAAGTATTCCTGGAAATGAACAATTAAGGGAAGAGTTACCATGGATGTTGATGAAATGTTATTTATATGTGTGTATATTCACACACACAGGCACGACCACACCTTCTCCTAACACCCCAGTTCTAATTATGTATGTCTTCTCCTACAAATTACTGGCTTCCTCCTTTTGTCCTTTTTGTTGTCCCTTGGTTCTCTTTATTGCTTCTAGCAACTGTTGCTGTTGACTTCCTTTACTTTACACAAGTAAGTTAATGTAATGTTCAGGTCCAGAAAGCACACATTGAAGGCTCTTTGGGAGAGCAGCAGTACAACAATCGAGTATTTTTCTTGGCACACTGTCTGAAGATTGCTTGTCTTGACTGTCCTGTAGCTGATTTTGAAGTCTACTTGCTTATCTTTTTTGGCAAGATGGTGACATCTTCCTGCAATTCAGTGTAACTTGTGCTGAATTAAGAAACTACTAGTATCTCATAGTGTTCTTATTAGAAGATAAATATGGTCCCCCTATAATCATGTTGAAAAAATATCTTGTAAAATTTAATACAACTATTCGGCAAAAGAACACGTGTAATGTTTTTACCTGTTTCATAAAACTGAGCATGATAACTAATATCATGCCTGTTGCCATTTCCAAAGGATGTTGTGCTTAGCTCCAAGAGTAACTAGAGAAGGGCTGTGGTGATGACAGGAAAAGACGGGCACGACTAGGGAGCTGGCCAATGTTGCTCCTGCCCTGAAAGTCCAGAAAGATAGTAGTTTAGCAGCAGCCCTACTTAAAGGTTTCTGCTTGGGAGCGTGTATGAGTTTTTCAGGTTGCACCTGCTACGTTCTCTTCTGCGATAGATGGGTTTTATGCCTATTTTTTGGTTCTTCTTCCATACCTAAATATCTACACCCCCTACTGTTTTTTCTGCAAGCTCCCTCTCCAGTTTCACCATCAACTTGCTTTTCCCTGCACTTCTTCCTGGAGCTCTTTAGAGCCAGCATGCTGCCACCTGTTTTATTTAACACTTCTAATCTGTGTATCTTCCCCAGTGCTGCCTCGTGTACTCCATGGGACCCTTGCAGGGCAGGGGCCTGTCTCCCCACCCCTCAAGCTCGGAGGCAGGTTAGGGACAGCCCAGCTGAGCTTGATGTACTTCTTTGGCAAGGGGCAGAGCAGGAGGGATAAAGCAGGCTGCTGCTGCTGTGTGCAGGGCCTAGTGCAGGAGGACCTGAAGGGTTTTTCCCAATGTCTTAGTTCAAAGGAAGCTTTACAGCTATCAGTGAAACATTTTGACGCTAAGTGATGAAGAGCAGACAGCGTTTTTCCTCACTTAAATTGGGCAGTGAGGGAGTTCAGTTTCCTTCTTGTTTGAGAAGTTTAGCGGTCTAAACACACCCTGCTTATCTATTACATTTGCTACCTAATTGCTCTGAGAACCACTTGCTGCTCTGCTTGTGCACTGTGATGCTGAATGGTTTCTGGGCTGGGATTCCAGGTTCAGACTAGAGGTTCAGGTTAGCAGAAATTAATGTTCACAGAATTCAGCCTGTGTTATCAGGTCTGCTTCTGATAGATATCAAACAGGTGGCTATAGCACATAAAAATAGAAGCCAAGAGGGGGATTTTTTCTATTCCTCTGCTCTTTTTCTACCCAGGCTTTGCAGATCCAAGGTGCAGTAGAGTCAGTGGTGGGGGCAGAGGAGTGGGAATTATTGATTCCCTGTCAGGCAGGGAGAGTGGGCAGCACCAGCAGCCCTGGAGCCAGTGTTGAGCCCAGCCATATGCTCCCATGTGAGTAAAAGTGTCCTTTTTCTCTGTAGCATTATTGTTTGCAGTGCTTCTGAAACGGACAGATTTGTAGTGGGGATGCAAGGCTTGCTTTCGTCTAGATTGGAGGGAAAACAACATCAGTTGAACAATGGCATTCACGCTCCACTTCTCTGAATTCTTGTGATTATTTTAAGTGACGTTGCTCTGTGAGTTTAGTTGTTAATAGTTGTAAATTTAAAGTTCAGCAAAAAACCACAACCAACCAAAAAACCAATGAAAAATCCTATGGAAACTGAGCTAGAGTATTGTTTTTTTAAAGTTCTGACTAGATTTATGTTTTACCAATGCGGTGGTTGTTATTCAGGTCAAGCCACTTATTCATGCTCAAAAAGTCCAGTGCTGGGAAGTTTTCAGTATGTAGTTAGTGTTCCTGTTCTTTGCCAAATAACAGTGTTTCTAGCTGTCTTGAAATTCCAGGCAGTAGGTGCGTTAGTAATATCGGAATTTATGTAGCAGTTTTCAAAAGGAATAGCTAAAGTGCAGCTATTTATCATTGTAGAAGCTGCCTTCTGAACAACAGAAACCTGCTTTCAAAAATTCCATTGAAAATGGAAGGAAATATGGTGAGGAATTGTTCTGCCTTTAATCCATTGAAATTTGAGGCTGGTTAAAGCGTTTTACAAAATCCTGCTGGCTGTCGACCAAGCTGGGATAAAAAAAGAGCTGCACTGAAACAATCAAGAACTAGATTGTTTTAAGATTATATTTTAATCTCATCCCTTAGTCTAAAGTTGCAGACAGCTCTGCAAGTGTCTGAACAAACAAGGATCCTGAAGCGAGAGGCAGAGAAATAAGCAAATCAGAAAGCTGTGCCTGATGTTTTTACTTTGTGTTGTGAGTCTACATCATTAGGTTTTTCTTTACCAGTAGGTAAGAATTGTGCTGAAAACTATTATTCACAAATAATTTTGACAAGAAAGGAATGTAATTCTATTATATTTTTGTAAGTGTGGTTTATGTGACAGTTAATTGTGCTTCTAAAGAAAAATAGCAATATTTTTGCTATGAAGGATTTTACTCTAAGATATTTTGAACTTCCATTCAGATGAAACAAAAATGAATTGCCTAGTAATATGCTAAAGATGATTATTCCATCCTTTATGGTGTCTTACAAGAATCTTAAGTGATTTTGCCCTGTAAAGAGACTTCCAAATGACTCTGACGTCTGATTTCAACTTGGAAGTATTGTTAGAAAATTGTTGTGCTATTAAGTAGCCACCAGATGGTAGTATGACAAAGATGACAGAGAGAACATGTTCCAAGGGTTTAGCTCTTAGCTAAAATCAGGGTAAAGCCAGTAGTGGTTAGAGGACAATATCTTTGTAGGCTGTTTCATGTATTTAAACCAAGTTGCTATATTCCAAGTACAAACAGTATAGTATTTTCCTAACAACAGATAGTTTTTGTGTATAATTCAGCATAGGCAAAAATATACCTATGAGACAGAGACACCATTCTTCTTGCTTTTCAAGTAGAAGGGTACTGTGTTGTCTGGAACCACTGTACGTTTGTTGTGGTGGAAGCTTTTTTGTTAAGGTAGTGGAACTGTTATCATATTTTTCTTGCTTACTAAACTAACTAAAGAGGAAGGACCAGCTTTCTTCAGGGCCCAGAAAGAGGGAGTTACCTATTTCTCATCTGGTGACATTGACTGAATTACCTGTTCTGGTTGCAGCACTTTGCCTTAGATGCAGTAGAAAAGATTGAACTTCAAGGTACAGGCAATTAAAGGACCTTCACCTGGATGTATGATAAATCAGGGGAGAAAAATTGAATGACCTCAGAAATATCAGATTTCTTTGGATGTGTCTGTTTGACTGCTGCCACAGTTGCACCTCAGCAATTTTTCATGGCCCTCTTTCCTGAGGTTTTGAGACTCTGCACTGCAGCTTGTGGGCTAATGGACTGAAATAAGTAATAGTTGTGTAAATGCAGAGTAGTTAAAAGATAAATAAATCACAATACTGCTGTAAGTATATACACATTTTTCCAGCTACTTGCTTCCAATTTGTAATTGCCTCCTCTGTCCCATTTTTTTTGTTAAAAAGTACTTCAGAAATCCAAAATGGTCCAGAGAGCTTCACAGAACCTGATCTAGACTTCATGAAAGAGATAGAAGAGCTTGCAAAGGGATTTATTGAGACCACAGAGAAAACCCTGGCTTTAGAAAAGCTATGGGAGCAAAACTCGAAGTTCTCAGGTAAGCTGTGATCTTTCTAATAATAAATTACTTTATCTTTCCAGGTAGTAATATGCATCAAACAAAGGAATACTTGCATCTGAAAAATAAAACGAAGAAATGAAATTTTATCTCATTTGAAACAAATCCACTTTTATGATTACTATTATGGTGGCTGTCATAAAATTATCAGAAAACCAGCACACCAAAAACATGCTTTTGTTTTACTACTTGATGGTTAAAAAGAGTTTAAAGGTAAGGGTTAATAATCTGAGTACACGGGTACTTAGTCTAACATGCATTCAGAAAGTAACTTAGAATTTAACTCTTTCTCCTGAGGTCTTTTTGTTTTAGTAGAGAGTATGGGGATGGAAAACCTCCAGTAGCTCACACCTGGTGACCCTTAAGCAAACAAGTCAGTCTTGCACTGAAAGAGTGACACTGGAAACACCAGGTTCTGATGTTCACACTCCCTTCCCACAAATACTGTGCAGCCTTGCTGGTGGGCAAGTGGGCATTTTAGACCTACTTCTGCCTTGCTGTTCCAGTTGAGTTTTCAAGCAGAAAGGTGTAGGTGAAACAGTAGTTTTCATGCCTGGCTGTCTGAGTGCTCATATGTTAATCTAGTGTTGATGTGATGATTTTGCCTTACTGAAAAGTGAATGGTAAGCAATTTCTTTTAAATTGTTTTAGTGATAATGGTTCAATTGTTTCACATACCTTTACTCCAGTAGAAATGCCCTTTGTCTACCACTTGCTATTGCTTATAAATTTTTTTTTCCTAAAGTTATTAATGCCTCTCTGTAAAGGGAAATATTTTATTTTACAGAGCTCCATAACATCACTGCTTTTCTTAACGTAAGTATTTTTATAGCCTATTTCTAAATTACAGTTCTGGATCCTGAGGCATCTTTATTATAGTAGTTAGAAATTTCTATCGTGTCAAGGTTTAGTATACAATCTTTTTTAAAAAAAATTGATATGCTGTTGAAGGAAAAAATTATGTCTTCTGAATTTGATCGAGGTTCATTGGTTTCTAGATTACTGATTTAAAGTAGTCTAGGTTGTTAGTAGCTAAAATTCACAGCTATGTGAAGGCTTGTTGTTCATAATGATCAATTTAGAAGTGCATCTGCCAGACCTTGAGTAGCTGCATAAAACTGTGTTACAGAATATCTTGCAGGGAACTCTTATCTTAATGTGTATTTATTATTAAAAAAACCTCACCCAAAACCAAACAAAAAACCAAACCAACCAACCAAACTCCCAAAACAACCCAAAATTTAAAAAAAAGGACTGCAGTGAGATTAAAAAGATGCATCTCTTGCCTGGATGAGATTACTTTGAATCCACATTTGTGATCCAGTAAATATGGCAAGCACATTCAAGTGAGGGTGAAGGAAGACAGATATACAAGATGCAGCATAACTCCTTCCAGAATCTATTTGGCAGTTTAAGTGAAACTAGTTTGGTATTTGTGCTGTCCCTAGTGCATTAGTCTCTCACCTTTGCAATCTCAAGAAGAGGAAGGCTGAATGGGCACAGTAGTGGGTCTCAATTACTGTCAATTTTTGTACCTTTCACATATGATTGGTTTCACTTTTAAAATATTTAAAAATACATTTTCTCCAGATGTGTTTGATTGTAACTGATACTTCATGAAAACTAAGTTTCCAATTTGTAAGTTGAAATTAGATGGCATTTTTATAGTAATATTTTTAATATGCTTGTGAGGTACTTGATTGAAAGGAGCTGTATCAATATGAAATTTCCCTTCTGGAATGGAAGATGAAATAGAACGTATAAACATTAAGAAAATATTTAGTTGAAAGTAGCCTCTAATTTTTAGTAGCATCTTTAAAGAGTCATTTTTATAAATTATTTGACATACCCACACCCATTTAAAATTATTTAAAATTCAAGAGGGCAGAGGAAGTAACAGGGATCTGCTGGCTTTTTCCTGTTAATGGAAGTGTTGCATGTAAATGTATTTTCTTCACAAAAAGATGGATTTGAATGAAGTGGAGGAAATTATTTCTAAAGCAGAAAACCTGTACAAGCAACCGTATTTCTGGAACCTTCTGCATTCCCTCCCTCACCTTGAATCAAACAGCTTTTATACAGAAGATGGATTAGCTGCTCTAGCAGAGTTTCTGAAAGTTATTCAAAAGTAAGTTCTTCTATATAGTTGAAAATGATCTGGTTCAATATTCTACATGCAATTCTTATTCTTCTCACTGGCTATTTAACAAAAGAAACATTCTTATCAGTGTAAAGAGGCTGAAATTTTCTTCTGCTTACCAGATTCTGTTTCTATAGAGGTGTGGTAGGAGTTTTCAACTATTCTGATTCCTTTGTAACTCTAGTTTTAATCTCTGCCCAGCTCAGCAGAGATTCCCTGGGAGTTTATTCTGTCACCCTTTAGCATCCCACTGTCTTTTTTTCTGCTAATGGAAAAGATGTGAAAGATATGATGGCATAATTTTTTTGAAACTGGGAAATAAGTCTCTTCATTATAATGTGTGGATTGCAACTGTGATTCTTCCTTCTTTATTCAGCTTTTCATTGCTGAGCATAATGCCATATGGTCTGAAGAATTCCTTTGGTCAGTTTGGGTCAGCTCTCCTGGCTGTGTCTTCTCCCAGCTTCTTATGCACCCCCATCCCACTCACTGGTGGGGTGGTGTGAGAATCAGAAAGGGCCTTGGTTCTCTGTGAGCACTGCTCAGCAATAATGAAAACATTCCTGTGTTATCAACACTGTTCCCAGCACAAATCCAAAACACAGCCCCATACCAGCTACTATGAAGAGAATTATATATATATAATTTATATATAATGAAATATTATATATATAAATATTATTTTTATATATGTATGTGTGTATATATATCTATCTGTGAGTCTTCTCACCTTCTTGTTTTTCTTCATTTCCTGTAGAAGTGCATCTGTGTAGGTGCTTGGTTGCCAGTGGTGGTCAACCTCTACATGATTATTAAGAGGAGATTCAGATGTTTATATTTTGGTGTTGTTTTTTGTTGTTTGTTTTTTTTTAAAATCTTTGGTGCCCTGCAGTGACCAAATTTGCCACAATTAATGCATTTTGGATAGCAAACCACAAAACCCAGTGCTCACTTCTTGACAAGATTTGTCTTACTTTGACTGTAAAATCTCAACCTTTTTTTTTAAGTTTCCCTCATTAAAAGTCTAATTTCAGAAACCATCAGTTTTTCAACAATCATAGAAATCATAGAATAGTTAAGGCTGGAAGGGACCTGAAAGATCATCAGGTTCCAATCTCCCTGCTATGGGCAAGGACACCTCATGCTAGACCAGGCTGCACAAAGCCTCATCCAACCTGGTCTCAAACACCTCCAGGGCTTCCACAACCTCCCTGGGCAACCTATTCCAGTGCCTTCCTACCCTCATGGTGAAGAATTCCTTCCTGATGTCTAACCTAAATTTACCCTTCTTCAATTTAAAACCATTACCCCTTGTCCTATCACAACCCTCTCATATTAAATTGCTTGAACATCATCTTTTTCCACCATATCCTTTCAGTTTTTCTGGGTGTATAGTGAGTTTGATTTTTGTGTTATTTTTTTAGTTTCAGTACCTTGGCATCATTGAAGGATATAGCTGTTACACCACTGAGCAAAAGTTTCTATGAAGTGGTGAAAACAGCATTGAATTTAACTGCTTCATCAGTACAGGCTGGAAGCTTAGAAGGTAAGGAATTTTTTTTAAGTACCTTGTAAGCATGCTGGGAATATGCAGTAGTAGGAACTGTATTCTGCTAAATTCTTCATGTAAAAGATCTAAAAATTGAACTTTTTTTTCTGTAATGCTAACTAATTTTTTATTGTTTGTTCTTTTTTTTTTAATACTAATAACTTGAATGTCATCAGACTGGCAACTATTTGATAAACAAAGCATATATTGTGTTTAGAATAATCTTTCAGTGGTGAAATTTGGAGAGAGACTAAGTCACTGCAAAAATTAATTTCTTCCATTTGGTTGAAGGATAGATTCTTGTTTTGGACATGCATGTTAAGCATTATGGATGTTTTACTTCATTCTTCTGTTGTCATAAATTCTGGTCTCAGCTGAAGAGCTATGTTTCCCAATCTGCTGCTTGAGTATGGGAGATAAGTTTTATGCAAGAAGGTAGGCTGGCCCCAGAACAACTGCTTGGGAAAAGGTCAGGAACAAGTTTCATTGGCAAACTGGTGGCAGACAATTAGACTCTAGGTGCATTACTCTGCACCTAGAATAGGATTCTGCTCTGCATAGAAGGTCAGGCTGAGAATTACATGCAGTCTGTATCCCACTTCACCTGTCAAAACCAAGACTGAAGTAATACAAAGATGATATGCTGGAGCTCTTGCACAGGGGGTGATCTTAAATTCCCTTGGTATTCTGCTGCTGTTCTCCCTCTCAACAGTGATTCACATCCAGCCCATGTGCAACATTTGATTGACTATGTGCTGAATTAGACACAGTTCAGAATGGCACCCTGCTAGTTCTGCTGGCAAGCACTATGCATCTCACCATAATTGTATCAGCTGTTGGAATACCATCAGACTTTATTATCCTGTTAATGCCATCACGGATTTTATCCTAGTGAAACTGGTGTTCAGGTGCACACTGTTGTGGTTTTTTTTGCTAAAAGCAGGAAACATGGTACTCACATCTCAAATTACAAATAGTCGAGAAAAAACATGAACAAAAAGCAGGAAT